TAAAAAAATTACAATATAAATAAAAAGAATTCAAAATAATAAACAATCTGCCTAAATTACTTTTACTTCAAGTTTTCATTGAAAAGGGAACACAGCTGATTGTTACAGTGTAATAATAGCCTTGGCCTTGAGAACCATTGTTTACATTTTGCTAACTGAAACGTAATAATATTAAAATGATTGTATAACTACAAATTAGTTTCAAACAAATAAACAATTTAATCTATTTAAGAATTTTACACTACTGGAACTTGAATAAAACTAATGTTAGGGCTACTAATAATAGTGCTAAGAAGTATCACAGTATGCGTGAGTTGAGTATGAATGAAAAAGTAAACAAACCTTGGATGCTATTATTATGATGATAATTTACACAATTCTCGGTATCAGGCACATCTGAAGTGCTATCTTCATCAAAAATATTCCTCTAAGTAAGAATAGTTGTCCATTTCAAGCTTATAATCAGAATCAGATTCCATAGCAATGTTTTAGAGTGTAGTAACAGTGAACCGGAATTGTGGCAAAATATGAGTAAATGGCGAAAAGGAAAATTTATGAATGGACAAGTTGATACCAGATTTCTTCAAGAACTAGTAAAATAAACGATTTTTCTTTCTTGCCAAATAGAAATTTAACATTCCAAAATAGTAAATCTTTATTTTCGCCTTTTAATATTATTTTTATATATATATTAAGGGTCCTTTTTTTCACCCGCCATATATGACCGATTTTTCAATGTCCCGTCTTTTGAGAGTTAAGCTGCATAAGTATGACTTAAATGCTATTAAAAAAATCTAGATGATGGCCTCCATTAAAAATATAATATTAATGTTCCTACCAGACATGCTACTAACACAGCATCACTGTTGTTCCTGGCCTGTGAGTCACGACACAACTCTATAAACCTTGGAATACCTAAAATGAAAATGACAAGCCAGGCTAAAAATGTTGAATAATAAAAAATGCTCTTGGTTTACAAACATATAGTTTCAAATTTTAAATATCCAATTAAGGAGAAAAAAAATATCTTACAAACTTTTAAAATTGCATGGTTTCATTAAAATGCAGTAAAAGATCATTTTAAAAATGAAATTTTATTTGATAAATCACTTTTGTATCAGAAAAAGTCCTATCACCTTTTTGCCGTATGACTTTATAAGTATGGCGGGTATCCTGACACAGACGCATCAGAGCTATAGCTGCCTTCTGTTGGACACGCTCACAAGCCGATCTCTCAGCTGTACTGGACAGCAGGCATGGTTTCTGGTGTAAGAAGCTGACAAGAAGATCAAGCCCCCCACAGCATCTGATACTCTCCTGGCACCCATTGATTGCAGCCATGTTGGCAAGAATAGTTGCTACCTGAGGCATGGCCAGGAAATCAAATATTGTGTTACAATTTAGGATTATTTTAATTTATAATAACTACCATTTATGATTATATCAATTTATGATAACTACAATTTAGGATTATATTAATGCATGATAACTACAATTTTTTAGGATTATATGACCGTATTTATTGGTGTATAACACGCCCCCGCGTATAACAAGCACCTCAATTTAAGAAGGAAATTTCAGGAAAAAAAAAATAAACATTATATTGTCGTATAACACGCACACATGATTTGCCCCCTTTTTTCATGGAGAAAAAGTGCATGTTATACGTCAATTCATATGGTAATTTAGGATAACTTTAAATTTAAAATGAGGCAAATTTAATATTTATTGTTTACAATGTAAGGGAAAGGCTAATTTTGCAACAATCTAATGATGATAAAAGTAAACATTAGTTTTGACAGCTAAATAAGTCTGTCATGATGAGCTAGAACCATAAAGCAAATAATTACTGCTGAAATTTTTAAACAGCCGGTTTAATTTATTACAGGATAATGAAGTCTTCAATCAACTTTATTGTTTATTAAATGAGGGAATGAAATATTATTTTTTCTAATATAGTTCAAAGCTCAGTATTTTTTCAAGATACAAGAAGAAACCTGAATGTAATACGAATTTAATTTAATTTGTGTCATTTTTTTCTAGTTGTACTTCAGTCCATTGCTAACAAAATATTGATTAAGAAGTTGTACCTGGTCCTTGGCAAAAAGTGATCTGGCTTTCCTACACATACATGTTTTCACAAGTAACTGTGGCGCCTTCATCTCCTGCAGCAGGCCACAAGCAGATGAATCAATAAAAGTAATGTTAGCAACTGCCGCTGCTGAGAGGAGGAATGTCTCATGACCTTCAGTCTTTTCACATAAACCTGCCAAGCAATAAGAATGTCTTTCATCATAAAATTCAACATAAACAAAAAAACCTTGCTCACACACAAAAGGGATCATAAGTTATACAGAAAAACATGTTTAGTGAATAGCAAGCAAAACTTTCTAACCCAGCTAACAACCTGTAAGTATAACTTGACAACTTCCCTAACAATGCTGTATGTATAACTTGACAACCCACCAAACAATGCTGTAAGTATAACTTGACAACCCACCTAACAATGCTGTATGTATAACTTGACAACCCACCAAATAATGCTGTAAGTATAACTTGACAACCCACCTAACAATGCTGTATGTATAACTTGACAACCCACCAAACAATGCTGTAAGTATAACTTGCCAACCCACCTAATAATGCGCTAAGTATAACTTGACAACCCACCTAAAAATGCTGTAAGTATAACTTGACAACCCACCTAATAATGTGGTAAGTATAACTTGACAACCCACTTAACAATGCTGTAAGTATAACTTGACAACCCACCTAATAATGTGGTAAGTATAACTTGACAACCCACTTAACAATGCTGTAAGTATAACTTGACAACCCACCTAACAATGCTGTAAGTATAACCTGACAACCCACCTCTCAATGCTGTATGTATAACTTGACAACCCACTTAACAATGCTGTAAGTATAACTTGACAACCCACCTAACAATGCTGTAAGTATAACTTGACAACCCCCCTAACAATGCGGTAAGTATAACTTGACAACCCACCTAACAATGCTGTAAGTATAACTTGACAACCCACCTAACAATGTGGTAAGTATAACTTGACAACCCACCTAACAATGCTGTAAGTATAACTTGCAAGGATTCTGCAAAACGGCAAAGGTGTTGGTTCTGGTCTAACACAGGGGAAGTAATCTGAGCAACGACGCCAGCAGCTTCCCCTTGCACAGACTCTATCACATTTTCATCAGTTAAGATATCCATCAAAAGGTCAATACCACTTTCCTGTAGATTAAGTTTTAAGGTTGTTTTATAGATTTATCAAAAGTAGAAAAGGCAGACATAAGGATGGAATTGAGATATTGAGAGCAGAAAAATAGAGAGAGAGATCCTCAGATGGCCTATGGTCCACCGGCTTTACACAGGAAGACAATGAAGTAGAAAAACAAAGAGGCTGCCAACCTAAACATTTTTCTTAAGCAGCTGCTGCCGAAGATAATAATAATATATTTTACACAAGAAATGTTGTTTAACTTTCCAACTCAGGTGTTTAATTTAAATCCTTCTACCCGGTATTTTATCCTCTCACTATCTCAAATTCGCTGAGTGACCAGAATATATTTCATTCAGTCAACGTGTCAATTACACAGTGTGGTTTACCTTCTCCAGCTCAGCAACACATTCTGGAGCACAACAAATGGTGGCCAAAGCCCTCAAGGCTTTTGACCTAGTGAATGCCACATTTTCTCTTCTGCATACATCAACAAGAGCTCGTACACCACCTTCCTGCAAATGTTCAAGAAAGGTCAACTTTAACCAAATAATAAAGTGTAATGTTTTAAAATATATTATATGATATTGAAAGAAAGAAATACATATGCCATCAGGTTTCAAAACAATACTTTTTTTACCTACTTACCTAAGATCAATACATTAGTGCCTTGCACTATTTTTTGTGTGTGTTGTTTTCTTACAGAGGAGGCTGTAATTTTTAAATCAAATCAAACGGTTGTTATTGTTAACTATATACAAAATGTTGTTATTGTAATCTATATTAAGACTGACCCTTGCCAGCATGTAACACATGTGTTCCCCCTCCAGTCCCAGAGTGATGATATTGTTGATGACGACATGAAGAGAAGACACGCCAGTGCATGACTCCAGCATCTTTACTATTTTCTGAAAATTAAAAACATATTTTCTTATAATAAAAAATTTGAACAACTAATAAAGCTGGAAGCCATTTAAAGAAGACAATTCATTACATTTAATCATTAACAATAATCTAACGGTTCTAGTAAAAGTTTTTCTCTACACGAAGTGTGGCACACGACGTAATTGTTACCAAACCTCCTGAATGAATGTGTCCAGTCTTATCATTCTGTCTTCATGTTCTTTAAGTTTGCAAATCTCTTACAAAGGTCCCCTTCAACCCCTAAAGCTTATTGAGACTATTATTGAGACTATTAGTGAAAGATCTTGCAGGGTTTCTTTCAATAGTTTTTTTAATGAGATGATAAGAAATGAAAAATAATAACCTGAACTCTGGCACAACTAGTATTGGCTGTTACACTACATCACCATGTCTTACCAAACCCATTTAAGATAAGGCCATTTTTTTATATAGAGAAAACGTGTTGTTTTTCTAACATACTCCTCTCTGAACTAGCCTTCTTTCCCAAATGAAATAAAGGAGCTCAACAAGAAGAAATCATAACGGAATGGCAAAGAAGTAACGAAATATTCTTTATTATTATTATTTTCTAAATAGCTTTCCTCCCTGTCCTACCATCTTTCGGCCCGCACAAGCTTTTCATAAAGTATTATGATCCGCCTTACATTTTGAGTTGTGCAGGCCTGATGTAATGGAAAATGTAAATTTCAGATTTTCCAAACTTAAGTTAACTTAAAGTGTTAACATTGCTAGCAAGTAAAGATGATTTTGTTGACAATAGTTATATAATAAGTCAATAACCCACCTGCACTAAGTACCCAAGGGTGCAATCAACTAAGCGGCTAAAGGATTGACCAAGGAAGGTCAGTTGATTTACCAGAGGAACCCTATGGACAACATTCTTTTCTGCTGCACTATAAGGGGAAATAAAACAAAATTAACATTTAAGTTGTTAGAAAATGGTTGAATTATGGCCATTCACAGTGGTAATTGCTAGCTTTATCGTTGAATTATGGCCATTCACAATGGTGATTGCTAGTTTCAAGAAAACATAATAGGTTTATTAAGAAAATTGACCATTTTTGTGTTGTTTGCTTAACAAACTGTGTACAGGGTAACCAAATTGCTAAAAATTTTACTTATACCAAGTAATCCATTCTCTAATGATGGGTGTGTACAACAAGCAATATCTAACTTGTAAAGGTTTGTACGACAAGCAATAACTAACTGCCTTGTAAAGGTTTGTGCAACAATCATTATATAACTGCCTTGCAAAAGTTTGCATTTAGTGTAGATAATTAAAATTAAATACCTTGTTGTTTGTTGAACTAATTTTGCTGACTCACACATTACAACTTCTTGTTGCTGAAAGAAAAGTGTGCGCTTCAGATATCAGCCAAGTTGACAATGATAAAAAAAGGACAATATGGACTTCTAATCATAATGATGCTTTCAATGTATGTTATGCTTCCATGTATGATAAATATTTCAAATTATTTAATTCATATTGATAGGAATAAGCTGGATATAAGTAACAAACGTTGCCAGTCATTTTTAGTTTTTTTTTTTTTTAAGAATATTATATTTTTCACAAAGAGAAAAGAAATAAAATTGCAAGCCATTGTCTTAAGTTGCAATGGTACAGACCATGACACAACACAAGAGCAAAGTTGAAATCGATCTGATAAGGACAGCAATATGGCATAGTGAATAAAGCAGCAGGCTTAGATACAATTCCACCAAGAAATACAATTGTACATACCTCTTGAATATAAGATGGCACATCAGCTACATGGGCATTACACAACTGTATTAGTTTCCTAACACTGCAAGTCATGTCCATTGTTTGGTTGTTCAAGGCAACCCATTTGCTGGAGTCAAAGTATCTGAAATTATAAGTTCAACTCTTTTTTACCCAATGACACAACAAAGAAACATATGTAAACTTTTTATTATAAGTTAGTAAATAATTTTTTTTAAATCATTAAATTACAGTACAATTATTTTAAAAAAAACATAAATCTATATTTATTTTTAAATCCTTTAGGATTCAAGACTTACTTGAAAAGAGTGTTAAAGCCCTCAGTTATTTTGTTTGCCTCAAACTTAACCCTGTCAATTGCATCTAGATGTAAAATGTTTAACAAAAACAAACAAAGTTTTAGAAGATATCTCATATTCAAAGTAAGTATTCAGCTTTTTCAATAATTTAAAAAGCACCAAAAGTATTCATATATCTGTTCTTAAACTCTACAAAAATATTTACCAGCAAAATTTTCGTTTTTTAGTGTTCATTTTTTCCCCCCATTTTACATTTCTTTATGTTTTTGGTTAGCATATTATCATCCAACATTGTCTAAATTTATCATGATTATCTACAGTAATGCTTGTGCATAGATATTGATCTTCCACCATGCGCCTCCCTGTGTGGCAGATAGGGGAAAGCCCTCCAGCTATGGTGGGTACTGGGGAAATAAAATACCCGGGGCGGACCAAAATCAGAACCTACTGCATTGTTGGAAGTGGAGGGATCCACAAAGTCTAGGGAACCTTACCTGAAAATTAAGGTAGCTACCTGGAGAGTTGTAAGGGGCAGGGCCCCCCCCACCCCCTCCCCTGACAGTTTTGCACAGGGCTAACAACCCCGCCATACAGATACATGTTATGAAAGCCAAACAAAAAATTAAAACATGGACTGATACTAATGGAAATTGACCTATCCCCGAATATGGACATGATTTTTAGATTGCAACTTGGAATTTACTAAGCCTATTTACAGCAACAACCTTAGCCAAACTAATAGATCAACTAATTAAATATAAAATCTCTTTTGCTCCATAGCAAGAAATTAGATGGAAAAATGGAGACCTCCAGAAGATAAAAGACTACACCATATTTTCTGGTGGCAACAACTCAAATAGAGACCGACCGAAAATGGTTTTCTGATTTCGGCCGAAGCCGAAAATAGGCCGAAAGTTTAAAATGACTTTCGGCCGAAACCGAAAAAATGCCGAAAGTTTAAAAATGACTTTCGGCCGAAACCGAAAAAAGGCCGAAAGTTAAAAATGAATTTCGGCCGAAACCGAAGCC